TTCACAGCTAAGAGTTTGCACTCAGTCTCAGAGGAGACTTTGAACTTGGATTTTTCAGCAGTGCTGCAACTGTTAAAACTTTAATGACTCAGAGATAGACTAAATGCTTTTTGGGTATTGCAATGGACATGATTATTCAGGGCCCAAGGGCAGAATGTTATGGTTCATATCTGCGATGCCCCCTGAAGTCTTATGTGTTTGGAAGGTGTAGAGTGTGGGGACTCTCCTCCACGGTAGACTTGTCCAGCAATGAGTGCATCAGCTGCCTGTGCTGGTAACAGGTGGGGCTCAGTCTGAAGAGGTGGTCGTTGGGGGCGTGACCTGGAAGGGTGTATTTCACTCCGTGACTCCTCCTTCTCTATCAGCTTCCTGGCTGTCCTGACGTGAGCAGCTGTCCTCCGCCAGCTCCTCACCATGCCCGTGTTCCCTCAGAGCCAGACCACCACGTAAGGACTGACACCTCTGGAACAGAGCCAGAATAAAACTCTCCCATTTTTGTTGCAAGTGTCAGGTACGTCGTCTCAGTACTGAGGAAAGTGATGAGATCAACGGTAAATTTGAGCTGGCAGAGTTAGTCAGCGAATGTGAATATAGATTGACAGAGATTATGCAGCATGAACAATGGAGAAGAAAATAGTAAGAAGAAAAACGAGTAGAGCCTCAGGGAAACACAGGTCACAGCCATATCAACTTACACATAGTTCAAGAAAGAAAAAAGAGGAGGAAACAGAGGAGGAAAAGCAGAAAAGTCACCAGGTGAAAAATGGTGAAGACAACCTATGCATCCAAAAAGCTCAATAAACTCCAAGTGGATAAAGACAAACAGAGAGAGCCACACCCAAACACATAACAAAAACACTGAAACACAGAGAGATGTGGCAAGACTACTGTGACCAAGTATGTAGAGGAAAATTATAACCAAATGTCCACATTTTCCCCAAAAAAATAGAAGAGCAAGAAATTTCTCAACTAGTTTTGAAGCCACTGTTACTGTGATGAAATCAGACACAGGTACACTGCGTTGCACTGAATTCTGTCCTCCACTCCAAATTCATATGCAGACATTTTCACCCAAATCAGGCAAAGTCTTCTTAGATCTGACACTAGAAACAGCCACCAACAACACCAAAGTAGACAAGCTGGTCTTTACCAAGATTTTAAACATCTGTGCTTCAAATTCACCCACTGATAGGTGCTTGGGTATTTCTGCATTCTTCTCTGTTATAGATAATGCAGTGAACTTTTGCACCTCAGTTTTGTGTACCTTTCATTTTAATGGATGAACTAATAAAATGTGATATATTCATTCTATAAGTACTGTACAATAGAAAAAAATAGTGATACTGTTACAATACCTTCTAGAACCTTGGAAACAGGTGAGGTGAAAAAAGCCAATCACAAAGGACCACACTTTACCTGATTCTGCTGTAGGATGTGCAGAATAAGCAAGTGTATAGATTCAGAAAGTGGATTGGTATGGTAGGGTACAGAGGTTGTACATGATTACACAGGAAGCCACTGAACTGTCCACTGTAAATGAGTAAGTTATATCCCTATAATGCCATTTTTAAAATTAAGTAGCTAAAGCATCAGATTTATGTTGAATAATCAGTGGGTGTTATGTCCTTTATCTTTTATTTTGTTGGATTCAATGAGAATTCAAAAGTGAAGAACATGTGCACCTCAACTGGATATTTAACTTCCCTAGACAGGCTAAAAGTCACTTAAGGACAGAGTTCCTCATGAGTTTGCCATATGTTCCCTATAAAAAGCACTGATTTTATTAATATCTATAAAACTGTAAGTTTTTTAGCTACAGTAACACTATAAAATAGGCATGAACCACATGGGTCCCTGACTCCTACAACCTAGATTCAAATCATAGGATTAAAGATATAAACTTCAGAGCTAGATCTGTTGGATTTAAATCTTAACTCCACTACTTACCACCTGTGTGAGTTTAGGAAATTTACTACCCTCTCCCTGTTTTGGTTTCTTTCCCTTTCATAAAATTCATTCCTGTGCCTACCTATCTTAGTTTTCTCATTGCTGAGACAAAATACCTGACACACAAAGTCAGAAGAAAGGTTTATTTCAACTCACAGTTTGCTGAAGTTTCAGCCCATAGTTCGCCGGCTCCAGGGCAGGGTGGCCTAGCAGAGGGGCATCAAGGGAAAAACAATCCATGGCAAACAGGTCAGGAAGAAGGTAGTAAACAGCAATCAATGATACCAGCAGCAGCAGCAGCCTGCCTCTTCCTTTTAATTCTTCCAGGCTGCCTGCCTTTTGGGTCGTGACACCCTCAAACCCAGCCTCACTCCCTTAATCCCAGTATTACACATCCCAGACCCAGCCACCTCCAAAAACTCCCACCTGTGATCACAAGAGGGTTTGGGGGGACATCTAGATATGAGCCGTAACACCACCTTTGCTCGCATTCTTTCTGTGAGAGCTCAGTCTTTGTGTGCCACCTTGGCAGTCTTTGTTTTCTCCAGGGTCATCTCGAGTTCTGCTCCCTCCATCAAATCCCTGCCAGCTCCACCTTCCAGATGGTGGTTTTATAGGGTTCTGGCGGGGTGGGGAATGAACCAGCATGCGGGAGGAGCCTTGGTGCTGGGCACATACCAGGAAGTGGCAGTTATAACAATGTTAGCGCTTACTGTCACTTCCTCCCTTGATAAGCAGCTGTTGGTTCCATGTAGTGTCCACAGTGCTGACACAAATTTTTTGGAAGGAGTGGATAGTAGGATTTTTACATCCTAAATGCTAGATTTGATGTCCTTTCTGATCACTTCTCCAATCTACTGCTTCTCAAGAGAAGTTGCAAGTGGAAGGGAAATAGTTAAGAACTTCATCTAAACATCTTCCCATCATTTACATTTACCAGAACCCTCCGAAAATAAGGATAATAATATTTACGGTCATCTACTGAGCAACAGTCCTGTCCTGTATCAGATGATCTCACATGCATTCTCAGTTAAGCAAGTACTCCCTTCGCCCACAAAACGAAGTCCACACTGGAACCATGCCAAGATCTTGCACCATCACGACTAAATATTGTCCTCTCTCCCTGAAGAACAGCCTTCGGATTCCCACTCCCGTGACACACGAGAGGTGACTTTCATTCCAGCAAAAGTCTCACCATTTCTTCCTTTGTTGATTGTCTGGTTTGCTTTTCTTTTCTTGTCCTCTGAGCTTGAAGTGTCCACCCGGGCTCCATCTGCTCATGTCCTATTTGTGCCTCAGCGTGTGATCGAAGGCCACCACTTCTAAAATGTCCCCACCAGTCTTTTTCCTCTCCTCCCCACCCATCATAGGCCAGGTCTTCTTTTTCCGCCTTTCAGTACCACTTCGTAATTTTATTATAAATTGTAATATGTTCTATTTTATATCTCTCTGGATACAACATCTTAAAATCAGGGACCTCACCTTCTGAAACTTATCATCGAAACAGTGGCATCACATCTGAGCATAACTTGCTCAAAACTCTTGAAATGGTTTTAGAAGCTGATTATAAGACATTTCTCATAATTCTGAGAGGCAAATTCTGGTTTATGTTCAGGAGCTAACAGAAGGTGCTCTGTGAAATGGCCCTAGAATAACCTGCAAGTGCCACCATTTCGTTTCAGGAAATGCTCAAAATAGCACCTTACCTTTCAGAAATCACATGTTAACCGCCATCAGAACACATAATATAAGGTGAAATAAAGATAAGGTGCCTTCTCTGTTGAGTTCCAATTTATGACTTAAATTAAAGAGATAAATCTTGGAATAAACAATTTATGAATTATAAATAAACCAGAAAAAGGGGAGACAGATCTCTATTTTCTCTAACATTTCCGGGAAAATTGGTAAATTGGAATGCAAAACGATAGGGGAAACTTAAAGTATATACCTCAACCCATCTGCACCGCTATCCATATTAAAGAGCCTCAGGCTATTGTAAAATTATGCGACTATCAATCAAGGCTTGCAGCGGAACTACATGCTGGTGGTCAAGAGCCTGGAGAAGCTGTGCATGTGTGTGTGTGTGCGTGTGTGCATGTGTGTGTGTGTGTGTGTGTGCGTGTGTGCGTGTGTGTGTGTGTGTGTGCGTGTGTGTGCACGCGCGCCCATATTTTTAGGGTGAGAACTTTTCAGAGGAGGAGGAAGAGAACAGTAGATTTGCATTTTAGAGGGGTTACTTAATTCAATAGATAACATAATGGTTAAAATCTAGGTCAATCTATCAATTGTTACCTAACTACCCAAATTCAGATAGTCAAAACGGTTGCTTTGTTTTAATATACTCAGTATTTTCTTCTGTCACATCACCTCTTTTTTTCCCTCTTTAGGAAAATTAGGAAGCAGCTAATTTGAAGAAAAGCATCCTTGACGATGAGTATGAGAAAGGAAAGTGCAGGGACCCAAAAGACACACAGGAAAATCTGGTCGTGGGTCGCATTTGGCAATATTACTTTCCTGCCTATTATACTATTCTTCCCCTCACTGGCTGGAAGTCCTTAACATCCTTTTTTAGGTATTTTTCTCAGGTTACATCTCAGCAAACTCTGGGGTACAAAGTGAAACCAAGGAGTTTTTTAGTGGTTTTTGCATTTGTTTTTGTTTTGAAGGGTGTGTTTTGGGGTATTTTAATTTTGTTTTGTTTTGTTTTGTTTTGTTTTGTTTTGTTTTGTTTTTGAGGCAGTCTTGCTATGTAGTGTAGGCTGGCCTTGAACTTACTTATATAGCCCAGGCTGGCCTTGAACTCATGGTGATCCTCCTGCCTCAGCCTCCTGAGCGGTGAGATTACAGGCATGCACCACCACACCTGGCTAAAGTCAAGTTTTAAATTAGTGAGTTTATAAAAATTTTGATTCCAGGGGGCTAGGGATTTAGCTCAGCGGCACAGCGTCTCCCAGGCAAGCACAAGGTCGTGAGTTCGATTCCCGGTACTGGGAAAAAATAAATAAATAAATAAATAAATAAAAATTTTGATACCAGATATTAATGGCCTTTAATGTTAGTATTAATTAAAACCAACCAACCTGTATACTATTCATAGGCAGTGTAAGGTTAGTGGTTAGCATCATGGACTCGAACCAGAATTTGAAGATTTGCAATCCGCTTCTCCACTTCTGGGATGAGTAATTTTGCATTTTACTGAATGGTTCCATGCCTCAGTTTCTTCATGTGTAAACAGGGATGTCTCCCTACCTCAGATAATTTTTATGAGGATTAAATTAGTAAAAAATTCAACAGTGAGGAAAGCAGTATCTGGCATGTGCTAGGCACTACGCAGGTGGTGTGCAGGGTCTTTTACATTAGTAAACGAGGCAGTGAAATCCCACAGAGAATAAAAACACAAGGACTCCTATTGGAATGAAGAAGATTTTCCTGAAGGGCCTTTTCCCCAAGAGACAGATGACTAGGTAATCACCATACCAAGCTTGCTCAGACTGAAAGGGACAGAGGCTATGGGCCTTCAGTACAGTCAGAGACTGGTCACCACATAAAGGTCTCAGTGTGCCGTGGTGACAGACACTTTACTTTAGCTGATGTCGTGTACAATACATGTACGTTTTATCTCATTTAACCCTCCTAAAACTCCATCCCAGTTAGGTCATTTTCACTATTTAAAAAAGAAACACAGAATAGTGACTTACCCAAGACACGTGGTCGCAGGAGGTATGATCAGAGGTGGACCCCACACGTGCCTGAGTTCAAAGCAGATGTTTTTACCTTTATTAGTACACGTTTGCAGTACATGGTTACAGGCTTCACAGGAAGTTGGTACATGTTCATAACACACCTCAACTTTTTTTTTCTTTTTCTTCTCCTCTCCCTCCCCCTCCCTCAATCTCTTGCTCCCCTTCTTTTCTATGAAAGATGTACCTTCCTGTTTCCTGTTACCTAAATTTCATCCTGCTCTTTAATTATACCTTGGGTTTCTCATATGAGAGAAACCATGTGATGTTTTAGCTTGCTTGTCTGATTTATTTCTGATTTATTTCCCTTACCGTTATGGTCCCAAGGTTCAAAGCATGTGGTTTTACGTGTTTCATCTCCTGCTGGTGATGACAACCTAACTCCTCTAGAAAGGAGGGTGTCCTGTCTCAGCCAGTGGGCAGCTGAATACACCTGGAGTAATTTGTTAGCCGAGACATACCCTATTGATCCGGCTGTGTTTTCAGTAGCTTTTCAGATGTGCTTGCTTTTCTGGGTAAGTGCAAGCAAATATGCCAACTCCACTCTGAGCATGTGAGAAATAGAGTCAAGCCCTTGCTGTTTTGTTGGAACTTGCTAGAAACTTTAGGGCAAGTTCTGTGTTCATCACAGAATCGTTACTCTTTGCCAACAAGGCCTTTTCCAAAATGTAGTCCCATGTTTAGCGTAAAAGTTGGAAGTTTTCCCATCTTCCTCTATCCTTGCTGTTGTTTTGTTAGCATAATTTGGAATGAGATAAACACAGCCATATTCATCTTAATTTCTTTGAAACTTCTCAAGGACTCTCCCGTCATATAACAGACTAGCAACAGGACAATTATAAGCCTCAGAGAGTCTGTTCCTCGACAGCAGCATCCTCCAGCCGGGCAGATGCACCTTTGCCTGTTTCAGGCAGCGGCTGAAACCGCACCAACCGTTCTTTCCTGTTGGAGACGCTGGTGAGTGTGTGCGTGGTGTGACGTCAGAGTTTGGGCAACGAGTAAAGCAATAACGAAAACAAAGCCTACACATCTCTCTCTTTTGAGAACCTGTTCTTTTTGCAATACCCAAGAACACATATCGTACTGCCTATTTTTCAGTGTGAGAGAGAACAAAGATGATCCAGGGTAGTTTTAGTTATAAAGTTTTTAAAAATAACTCTGATGTTCATTAAAAACTCTCTACTGCCAGAAATCTATTTCTTAAAGTAGAGGTCTTATTTCTTGAGCTGAATATCTGAAAAATACATCTCCTGCCTCCCTGGTGACTGTACTGCTGGTTCCCCTTTACTGGGAGTGGCAGCAACCCACACCCTCAGTCACACGTCCACCCCTCTGCTGCACCCCTGCCGCAGCCGACCAAATCCAGAGAATGACTGGGCAGCGGGCAGCACAGGCCATGGCCAAGCAGATTCTCTCAGGGTTTTAAAATGAGACACACAGAGGGTTTTCTGTTGGTATTTTCATCTTTGAAAAGAAGAATTTCTGCACCCAAGGCCCCATTTTCAAAATGAGGTTTGATTCCTGGCAACAGGAAATACGTGTGAATAAATAAAGGGTAAAAATCTATAAGCCAGGACAATTATCTTGGACGTTGTGCAGTTTGGGGATTTGTTTGTTTTGTTTTATGACGTAATTCTTTTTGGGGTAAGTCCAACCAAATCAGAAACCAAGTTAAATTCCTAATGGAACTATTTTAATTTCTGTAGTGATAACGTGAGATTTAGTTGAGGATGGACAAATTTAAAAACTGGAATGAACTTGTAAAACATGTTATACATAAAATGCAAAACACATACAACCTATGTAACAGACAAACACTGAGCGTCTCATGTTGCAGATAGTAAATATGGCAGACGTGCCTGGAAGTCCTTAATCCATAGGCTCCCATGTCTCCCGTGCCACGAGTAAATGGCTTCATTTGTAAACGGCTCTGTTGGTGTAGCATGCAGGGGTGAACTGCTAGTGCGATCGACAGTGGGGCGCTGTAGGTTCTGGAAAAATCTTATCCTGACCACGACTCCTCGTTCTGTTTCTACAGATTAAGTTTTACTTCTCGTTTTCCCAGTCTCCAGGCCTGTCTACCTGGAAATGAATACTTCCTTGAATCAGGTCAGTTATATTAATTTCAGAAAACGCTTAGTTTCTTTACTTGCTCAGAGTCTATTTTTAAATATAAATTCTTTGTCAACTATTTTGTATAGTTTAATCTGCCATCTCTAATGCTACTGGAGTCCTGCAGCTCTTCTTCAGAAAGTACAGTGCTCCAGCTTACAAAGCCCTGTCTTACAGATCCTGTGCGCCTTTCCCTTTACTCTCTGCTTTTCTGTTTTGCTGGAGATAGACACGCAGCTTTGTTCCAGGCCCTCATGTGCAGGGATTCACTTCTCCCATGGGCCTTGGCACTAAGAACTGCTCTCAGTAGCAATGTGCTCTCCCTTCTCTACGTGATTGACTCTGTCGTTCACAGCTCACCTTAAACCAGAATAGTTTCCCTTAACCACTCAGTCTAAAGCAGCAATGCATTCTGTCACGTCAGATGAATTTATTGGTGCTGTGCGTATTACAGCGCGGGCCTTTAGCCCTCCCCTCTCCACGTAAGTTCTGTTAGAACAGGCTCTGACAGCCTTGTCTTTTACTATTCCCCAGAACCTAAAGCAGTGCTGACATTTAGACAGCATGCGAGTATTTCCCAGAGAAGTGAATGTTAAATGGATTGTTCTGCAACTCCCTCTTGCCTGGGAATTATTTCTTTCTAAGCTCGGGTTTTAATAAAAAGTGAGCAAGTTTCTAGGAAAGTACATCTGGAAACATCTTTCTCAATGTGTGGAACGCACCGATCAGAAGTCTCTCCATCATATTAATAGCCTTTGAGTTAAGAAATAAGGCACCTGGAACTTCAGAATTTACTTCATGTCTTTTTACACAGGGTGATGAAGGCATTCATATATCATAAATTTATATGCAAAAATTAGTTTATTACATACAGCCGGAGAAGGACTCTGTGCATGTTTTCAAAGTTTCCCTCAGTTCCTTTACCCAGTGTACTCTCATGAGTGCCTATTATCCCCAAGACAGTCATGAGCTTGAGTTATCTTTGTCAAGGCTGCTCCAATCCCAGGGTCGCACCCCGGGGAGGAGCATGCCGGCTGCAGGGGACGAGCACTGCTTCTGCTCTGCGGGGCGCTCTCTGGGGTTCGTGAACCTCATACCAACAAAAAAAACTCAGAGGTGTAAAGTTTAAGGGTAGGAAGGCATTTTATCGGGCACTTCATTGGAAATGGAGAAGAAGAAGGAGAGACAGCTACCCTGATAAATCAGAGTGGGGACTCTGGAAAGATGGAAGACCCGAGGGCCCTTCCTTTTTGGGGGCTCTTTTATTGGCTAAGCTCCCCCTACCTAGAATTTGTCATAATTTGATTGGCTCCTTTAGGCCCTAGGATCCCACCCCAGGTATCCTTGTCTACAGGAAAATTCAGGAGAACGTAAGTGGCCTCCCATTTCCTTTGTAAGGTGGGGAGGGGTGCTGTGGTGCCTGGCTTGGTTTACAGCTTTCTCTTGTCTGGTTGATTGTTCCTTCAGTAAAGTTTTATCTTTTGTGGTGTGGATTATTCAGAACACCCAATGAGGCCTTCCTCTGTTTACAGACTCTTTTTCCCTACACCAGCGTATCATGAAATTTATTCAATTTTAAAGACACTTCCTGAGGTGAAAAATCACACAAAATTATTCTTAAAAGTCCCATAAGGCTCTCACCTCTAATGCTTGTAGACCAGAGAACTATTTCTTCACGTGACTGCCAGATGAAGAACTTGGTCATATTGTAGAAAACGGACATATGTTTAAATCTTACAATCAAACTCTGCCCAACAAGACAGTCACACAGTGGAAGGAGAAGCTGACACTGACCAAGCAGAAGCAGATTTTTACCTGTCATCCTGTCCTTTCTGGTCCTCTACAGAGAGAGAAATGGGTGGTATGGGCAGAACTGTATACCCGCACAATTCAGGTCGAAGCTCTAACTGGATTCAGACACAGGTCTTAGAACAAAGAGAAAGCAATCCAAAAGTCTGTCACAAAGCTTTCCTGCAGGAACACTGAAGTCTGTACCTAAGTGACCTTGCGTTTGAGCATATAAAGGGCAGCAGAAGGGTGGGCACGAAGTTCTGTAAGTCTGTGGAGGAAGTTGACAAAGGAGATAAAAAGAATAGACATGTTGGTAACGAAGACAATGTTCTTGGTCTTACCCACCCCACAGCTGTTCTTGCTCATAAATATAATAGCTGTGGGAACTGTGTTATTACAGATGGATAAATAGCCCCGATTGCCTGTTCTTTACAAGCCTTTTCTCTGTTCATCCATTCGGAGGGAGCACAGAAAGGACAAATGAAAAGATTCACTTCTAGAATGACAAAGGAGAGGTGTACCTGTTCACAGTCACATGTATAGCACACTCATACGCAAAGGTGGGGGACCCTCTCTAAAGTGAAACCGTTTTGTGATCCTCAGGAAGGAAAAAAGGAGCCATTTTATTTATGCTTGAAAGAAACGAGGCATTTTAAGTTGCAGACATTGGATGCTGAGGATTTGAGATAGCTTTTAAATGGCTTTAAGGATTCTTTTCTAGAGACTGCCCTTTATGTTTCTTTCAAATTTTCGATTTCCTCCATCTTAGCTGTCAAAACAGAAAGGGTGCTCTGCCCAGCATAGTAATTAGTCTAAATGAGGAGAAAGCTGTGGAAGGAATTCAGAAACCACAGACGGCTGGTATTAACGCTGTTTGGACTCAAAGGCGACAATAGACAGCAACGCGCACCCTGATGACTGCAACGTCCAGACATTCGGTCAACAGCCTCCTTTACCACCCCTTCGCACGGAACACCGTGCCGGCTGCTGTCTGAAGAACAAAGAAAACACAGGCAGCTCTTATCTTTCAGCTTCCAAGGCTGCAAATCTCAGTACAGCAAGACGGCGTGAGGAGGACGAAGCCACAAGGACAAGAAGCCGGTTCTCCAGACCAGATGATAATTGCTAAAGACTGAGACTATGTTGCTGCTGCAAACATGTGAAATTGTGTTGCACTAAGTTTAAGGAGACTAGTTAATTAATTTTTGAAAACTGTGGGTACATTTTTTTATAAGAAAGCTGCATTTTGTCAGTGAACTGGTCTATTTCCATCACACACACATGCACATGTATTTATATTTATATACATATATCTTTTAAAATTTATATTTATTCCATTGAAGACAGTTCCCTGGTGTCTTTACAACTGCGCAGGCCACCTCCACAGATCAAATCAGCATGAGGTATTCTTCATGTGATGGTGAGTTCATAACAGGAGCTTGGATCCTGGTACTGCTGGAACTCTCCCACTAACAGCAGGAGTAAGATTTACTCCAAACTTTGACCATTCCAGAGCAGACTTACTTGAGAGTTTTCTTTTAAAGAACGAAAAAAAAAATCAGTTTAATAATTCCATGCTATTTTTAAAAATAAAGTTTGTGAGAAATATCTGCAATAATTAAAAATGTGTTTGAGTTGGTACAAAAATATTTTCAGGCTGACATAAGAATCAATATCATACTAATCAGAGCAGAGCTGTGAAGTAGACACACGTAACAAGAATGACTCATCCGCTGGAATCATAAACCACTTCATTTTTATCTCCCACTGTCTCTCCAGATATTCTCTTGGGCATTTCCACTGCCTTCAGATGAAAATTTCAGCAGTCCTTATCCCTTTTTCTGCACTCTTGGATAATAAACAGTCGTAGAGTCACTTTAACTCCTAAAACATTTATTTCAATAATAAATCAAACATCCAACTTTGAATTAAAGCCAAATCTTCTCCCTCCACATGGAGGCCTGAAGTAGGAGGGAAAACTGCAACAAGAGGAGGCAAATAATCATCTCTGTTGCAGATTGTATTTCTACATCTCAGTCCATAACT